AGGCGGGGAGGCGACCTGCGCGACTCGGCGGGGGCTGGAGGCGAGGACCTCGGCGTTTTGTCTTTTCCGCTCCTAAGACTAAAAGCGTCGAGCTGGGGAGACCCCGGAGGAATTTCGGCCAAACACCTCCTTTTGTTCATGGGGCGGCTGAGATTGAGGAGGGAGGAGCCGCGCGGCGCCGAGGAGGGGACGGGGCCGGGCGCGCGAGGGGCGGGGGCGCCCGCCTTCCCTCCAGGGCCTTCATCCGTCTCAGGTGTTCTTTTCTTTCTTTTTCTTCTTTTTCTCTTTCTTTTCTTTTTCTCTTAATTTCTTTCTTCTTTTTTTTGGTAGTGGTGGTAGTAGTGTACGCGGGAGCCTCAAAAAGTTCGTGGGAACATCGAATTTCAGCCCGAGTTTATTGTGCAAAGCAGTGTGAACCCTGCGCGTGGTTTTTCTTGGTGCATTTTCCGTGAACTCTGGGCAGCCCCCTCCCGCACAGGTGACCCAGGCCGGGCCATCCTCGCCGGGACGTTGCTTCCACTCCCTGTCCTTCGGTTCCCGCTGCCTGTTCCCAGAACTGGGTGGCGATTCCGGGAAGGACGACCTCGCTGGTATGGTGTGGCGTCCCCAATCTTCGGCGTGAACTATTTAAACATCCTGGTAAGCAAGAGTTTTTCTTCCTCTTCTTCCTATGCGGGAGAACCCAGAGCTCTAGCGAGGCACAGATCCACCCCATCGATCTGCGCTGCAAAGATGGGAACCTCCGAGCGCACCCGGCGCGCGGGAGGATCGATCCTCCCGCCGGGCAGCCCCAAGCGGAAGCGCGGTTTCCGCCCTGTAGCCGCAAGCTCAGCCCGGCTCCCCTCTGCTGGATCATCTGGCGTGGGCCGTTGTGGATGCGAAGTGCCAGAGACTGGGGTTCCTCAGACCTCCCCTGGCGAGGCCCAGGGCAATGGAGGGGTGTCAGGGTTTGCTGCGGGCTCCACTCTCCAGCCTGAGTCCGGCCTGCATTGACCTCTGCTGACCCCAGGTCCGCTTTCCTAGGCTGGAGGACAGAGAACAGAATGGAGGGGATCGTTTCCTTCAGTGGTAGAGCGCTTGGCCAGTGTTTGCGCCCTCATCCCAGCTCGTACTTTTATATCCTAGAGGAAGTTCCCTTTATAACACCAAAATTCTGCATTGCCAGTAGACATTCTCTGAGTTAAAAAAAATTCTCTCTCAAAGGACAAACTATCAATAGTAAAAAAGAAAAAGAAATGGGGTCCTTTGCTCTTTTTTTGTGTTGATGGCTGAGCAGGAAGAATGAAAGTAAATTAAAACTATTTTAAGTCACTGCTGTTTAGAGAGGGTTGTTTTCCCCCCTATACAATGCATGCACTTGCCAGAGAGATGGGGAGGGGAGGGAGTGAGAACTCAGCCCTAGAGGAGATGGTGTTGTAATCCCTGCCCCTGCACTCTCCCCTGGGAATTTGGGCATGCACACGCAGCGTGTTTTTCAAGCCTCTGGTCTGAACAGGATGATGACATCTCCAGTGGGATTTACATGCCTTAACCACCATGCCCCCTGCTGACCTCAGATTACTTTTAAATCAATCTCTCTCTTTTTTTAAAACAAAGGTCACCCACTTATTTCTTCTATAGTAGAGGAAAACGAGTCAGGTACCCCACTGGGGACTCCTTGTCACGCTCCACCCTCCAGTCTCAGCTCTGTGTGTGTGTGTGTGCGTGTGCGTGCATGCGCGCTGTGCTAAGTGAGGTCCTGGGGCCCAGGACCCTCCCCTTGTGGCTCCAATGGGACCTCTGTGCACCTCCTTCTGGCCCCTTGTCTGTCATTGTCCCCTTTCCCAGGAGCCCCTTGGGTATTGGTGGATGTGAATGCGTGCTGCATACTCCTGCTGATGACTCACTCACTGGTAAGAGCCATGTAGAAAACGAGGCCTTTGGACTTTGGTAAGAAGTACTACAGTAGACATTGTCATTAAAACGACTTTGGACAATTGATTCCATTAAAATGAACCCAATTAATTACTTGTGATTCAGTATTGTACATCACATGAATCAATCTCTTCCTATATTCAGAACCAGAAAGCTTCTAATTAAAATCTCCCCAGGCCCAGATGGGTGGTACTGTCCATAGCATGCTGGCTGCAGCCTGGGAGCCACATGCAGTGCTGGAGCCGTCCATAGCATTGCTGGCCGCAGTGCTGGGAGCCACATGGAGTATTGGCCGCAGCCTGGAAGCCACAAGGCCAACTGCAGGTTCACATCCCTAGCCGGACTGACCTGAAATGTGCCAGGTGTGTGCATGTGCCCAAGACCCTGACTTGCTTGAAGCTGGAGGGAGGGGATCCCAATGTGACCAGACCTCATCAAGAGTACCCCCTCTCACACATGTACACATACATGTGCTTTACAATCAATATTTTTTTCTAATTGCCAGAGAACACGTGCTCTTGCCAGAGAGAAACAGAGCACCTCTACTAGACGTGGTCATGCCAGGTGTTTTTCCTCCATTCCTTCTTCCTGTTGGGATTTTGGGCATGCATGTATATTCATTCAACATGCTTTTCAAGCCAGTGGGGCCAGGATTCGAACTGCATTCAGCCATGTGAGATCTTGCTTCCTTAACCACTGAGCTGCATGGCCAGAGATGACTTGAGAAGAAAATAAGGCATTAAAGAGCTTCTGAAGGCATGTCCTTTGGCTTGCTGTTACTTACCATGGGCAGATTCTTTAAAACCCTGGGTGGGGTCAGCAGGTGGCATGGTGGGTAAGGGTGTTGGACTCCCACATGGCCGACCATGGTCCGAGTCTCAGACCTGGCAGCTTGCTTTCTCACTTTCCTTCTCACTCTGTTCCTCTCTTGTCAAATTCAAAGAAATTAGAATAAAATAAAACCTGGGTGTTTGGGTGGAGATGTGAGTCATCAGGTTAAAAAATATATTGTGGGGTCAGCAGGTGGCATGGTGGGTAAGGGTGTTGGACTCCCACATGGCCGACCATGGTCCGAGTCTCAGACCTGGCAGCTTGCTTTCTCACTTTCCTTCTCACTCTGTTCCTCTCTTGTCAAATTCAAAGAAATTAGAATAAAATAAAACCTGGGTGTTTGGGTGGAGATGTGAGTCATCAGGTTAAAAAATATATTTTGGGGAACCAGCAGTTAGCATAACGGCTATGTCGCTGGACTCCCACATAGTCAACCGTGGTTCGTGTCCCGGACCCGGTGGCTTAAAACTCACGCCGGGCGCGTGTGCGTGCGTGCCCAAGATCCCGAGAGGAGAATGGAGGAGAAGGGATTGCGGCGTGACCATCCTTTCAAGCTTACAGAATGTTACAAGTACAGTACAAAGGATTATTTTTTCCCAAATCATTCCAAAGTGAGTTGCTGATATTATGCCACATTACCTTAATATTTCTTTTTCTTTTGTTATTATTATTTATGCACTCAATCACTATACATCATTTAGATTTTTAGACATTACCTAGCATGATATACACCTCAGTCCAGCCCAGCTGAGAATACTATACACATTCTCACCAACAAATAATAAACCATATCTGTGTCCCACAAATTTCTTACCTCTCTATTTTTTCCCCCAAATTTTCTTTCCTTTACTCTTCCCCTCCTACACTCTCCTTCTACTTTGTCTCTAGTGTCTATAACAATTTTTAATGCTTTTATGTCCTCCAATCTTTCAGTCTCTACCATAGAGTGCAGACAGTCGGTATATGTTAAGTGGAGACATACAATGTCTCTCTTTCATAGCCTGACTTGATTCACTCAGCAACAAATCTTCCTTATTTGTTCATTTTTTATCAAATTCCAGGACCTTGTTTTTTTTTTATGGCTGAGTAGTATTCCATGGAGTTTATGTGCCACACCTTTTCAATCTATTCCTCTGTTTGTAGGCATTTGAGTTGGTTCCATGTCTTAGCAATTGTGAATAAGGCTACAATGAATATAGATGTGCAAGCACTTTTCCGACTGAGCATTCTCCTGTCCTTTGGGTAGATACGCAGGAGCGGAATTGCTGGATCACATGAGGAACCTACGTATTGTTCTCCACAGTGGGTGGACCAATTTACATTCCTACCAACAGTGTAGGAGTGTTCCCCATTCACCACATCCCCTCTAGTGCTTTTCAGTTTTTGTTTTTTTAATCTTCGCCATTCTGACTGGGGTCAGGTGGTACCTCATTGTGGTTTTGATCTGCATCTCCCTTATGAGCATTTCTTCATATGCTTCTTGGCTGTTTGTATGTCTTCCTTAGAGAGTTGTTTATTCAGCCCATTTTCCCATCTTTTAATTGGTTAATCTTCTGGGTAAGCTGCTTGAGTTCCCTGTGTATTCTGGTTATCAGTCCCTTATCTGAGGCACAGTTTACAAAAATTCTCTCCCATTCTGAGGGTTGTTGATTCACACTAATTATGGTGTCTTTTGCTGTGCAGAAATTTCTTAATCTGATGTAATTACCTTAATATTCTTTTCTTTTTAAATTTGTCAGAAGGTGGGGATAAAAGGAGAGAAAGTGGGACCCTCCCTCCCCAATGGGGAATAGTCACACCACAATCCCATCTGCTCCATTTCACCCTCCTTTCGGGATTTTGAGCTTGCACATCAAGCGTCAGGCTATCTTCAGGGCATGGTTGGGCTTTTCTCCTCCTGTAGGTTCATGACTCTTTTGTCTCCACTCAATGTGATGACATTGTGTTCTTACTTCCAGGTAGGTTTCAGTTGTGCCAGATGGTAAGGGGACATTCCTGTGCAGATGCCATCCATCTCTTCTGCCCCCTGGTGGAAGGCAGGGGTACCATCAGCATTGAAAAAGGTTGCATCAAGGAATGCAGTGGTTACAGCCTAAAGAATTCAAGAGGAGACATAAATGGAAGGTGTGTTATATGTTTGTGCTGTGAAATCCAAAATGGCAACTTAACATGACCCGAAAAATGAGTTATTTACATTTC